TGCATGTTTTTTTTGTCCTGCATATGGCAGATGGGACAGTCTGGTTTCCAAGTGTTTATGTGGGGAATTAATATTAATCAGGACTGGCTTCTGAGTGAAGGTCTTGCCTGCTTTATGTGAGAGCAGGCTCTATGTGAGATTCCAATTGCTATACAGCATGATCTCAGTGCTCTTCCTCTGAAACAATGCTTCGTTGCAATATCATCCAGCAAGTGCAAAAATGTACTACCACGGTCAAGGATCATTTGGCATGTTCATCGACTATGTTAACCCATTGAGTGGCGCCATGCACCCTCCACCTGACGAGTAAAATTGTCTGGCGTTAGACAGAGTAAACTAACAAAGTAGGGTGCATTGGGCCATTCCATTAATTAATGTATACACCCCCTATGGACGAGTTCAATAAATTTTGAACCCCTAAGAAAAAAAGATCAAAGTGCCGACACCAACACCCCCCCCTCCCCCAGAAATTAAGAAATTTTTGCCTTATCCCCCAGAAAAAATGCAAAGATCAAAGGATGCCGATGCACACAACCCTCAGAAACGGCTTTTTCACCCCCCTCGGAAATTCTAGTCCATAGATACCACAGCACAACACTTGTACATATACATATACAAGTAATACAACAGCAATCCTTTTATATATTTAATAGTCATATTTACATATTGGTGAAATATCAATGTCCATATATTAGGGATGTCCATTGTCCATGAACTTGTCCCTGTTTGAAGCTAATGTATTCATATCTTTTGTATAAGTTGTCCATCTACAAACCAACTTTTAGTCATTATACAAGAGTTGAATTTGCATAAGTCGCAACAAAATGAACAAAGTACTATTCCATAAACCTGTGCAATGATCGAGCGTCTTTGGCGACATATCCATGTCTTTTAAACGTCTCATACGAACAAATCTCACTGAGTTTTTTCTACAGAAAGTATTGATACATTTGATCGATCGCCGTACTTTGAGAAAAGCTTGAAGTGCAAAATTCAGAAGGAAGATTGAAGAATTTCGGAGATAAAAACTGTTTGTCTTCGAGTTTCACCTATTCACCCCCCCCCGGTTGAGAAAAGTAACAATTACGTAATTTTGGAGTCACGTGACCAGCGTTTACCAGGGCTATGTCGCCGCCTTCAATTCGCGTCTAGCCCTGGGTACGAGGTTGATACTGGCATGGGTGCCCTGTAAAATATACATGGTAATATTCAAGGCCAAACTGGTCTTGTCTTTTTCCTAATTTCGGGGCCCGCTTATAGATTTACCTAATTTGGGTACACTCACTATCTCGAAGGAGGAGAGGGTGAACACCATGTTAGTCCCAGTCTCCTGCAGCTAAAACCAGTTCACATTAACTAAGGGTAGGCCACTTACCTTTTGACGGCGGTAGGGAGGTTTTTCAAGTAAATATTAGATCTGAAAAACTTACAATAACGTGTTTGCATGCTCACCCTATATTTTGTTTGCCAAATTCAAATTGAACTTTTCGTGCTTAAATGTTAGCCTAATAGATACCGAAAATTTTACGTGTTTTAAACCGTCAGCTCGTGTTTTGACTGGAATAGGCTACTTGCAGTAAGGCTGATTTTCTCGTGCTTTGAAAACCCTGTAAACGCCCGCAAAACATGTGTATTTCTTATATACATGCAGGAAATAAAAACAACAGAGAACATGGGTAAAACTAGTTGAGAAAATCGTACATCAAGACATTAGCGCACGTTGTGGAATGTATGCGACAGTTTGTACGGCATTTCTGAAACATTTTTAACCCCGCCTTCTCTGTAAATACAATAAAGCTCCTTTTTAACAACATTAAGTGTGTAATATTTTCTATATTTGTAGTGCCCCATCGAATGGTTTCATTTTCCCTGCGTTGGTCTTACGACGAAGCCGAAAGGAAAATGGTATGTTCTCGGTATAAACAGTGTCGCAGGGGAGGGGCATTTTGCTCTAGGCCTCCAGCTGAAAAGGGGGCCCAAAGCGACGAAGTCCCTTATAACTTTTCTTGATACGAGATTGCCACACCGAGAATATAAATCCTAGCTGCGAATATAAATCGTCAACTCTCATCAATCTCGTTACATCACAATTTGAACCAGCACAAAGATAATTAGAGTGCGAGAGTCGATGTGAGAGTTAAACTCGACCGAGAGTCGCAACATAAATCAACTCTTACTTTCATTTGACCAGGGCTTTGTAGGTCTTCCACTATTTTGCTCTCTCCCTTTAGGTACTGTCCAAAATGTACTATAGAAAAGAAGAAGAAATGAGATCAGATGAAATATCACTTTGTACACAAATGCTTTTAGTTCAAGAAACGTGTGAGAGAGTGAGAGGTTTCGAAGTACATGCTCAAAATTTTCCTTGGTGGATCTTGTATATAATGTGCATAGGAATATTTTGTTGCCTTAATTATTTATCTGGCAGAAATACCATCGCTATTACTTCACATTTTAATAGGGCTGTTTATATTTTCCTCGGATTAAGTCTGGTTTCCCCACTTTCCTTTTGGTCGTACTTGTAGTCACAAAGAAATTAACTTTAAAACAGGGAATGGGAAATTAGGGACTCGGGGATCCGAGAATCGGGGAACATAGCATGTCAATCATACGTGAATTTTATTTTAGTTAATGTGCTCTGCAAGGTACTTCGATGACATCATAGGATATATGACCACCCCTTCATAAGTTGTTATCCTTCAGAAAGATGAAAACTTCTAATTTTCATCAACCAAAATGTGTAATAATTTTCGTAAGTTTACATAACAAAATACGATGTTAGTTTTATAGACTTGGTATGACTGACATGTATGTAGTCTGCTATGATTAAGTTTTCAAAAATTCTACTTTTTCGTTACTAAGCCATAATCTCCATCAAGTCCTCCCCACTCTGCCTTCTAGCAATATTTGTTCCTATTGTCTTCAATTTTTTATCTAATTGGTTAATTAAACACTGAGATTATAGCAATGTATTTATTTATTTGTATTATGTATTTTAACATACAGAGGATGCAGATTCCCCGATTCATGGATTCCTACTTCTCCCGAACGAAAAAATATCGGGAGAACAAACCATGGGCCATGTTCAGAATTTTCCAGCGACTACATTTTAGATAACATGTCTCTATGTCAGAAATTGCGTTGCAAGGTGCAGCAATAATTGCCTCGTGTAATTATATACTCGTTTCCAGTCCCACACCACGTTGTTCTTCGCAGTCGTGTGGGACTATGAACGGCGATATCATGGATTATTGCTTTCGTCACGCCCCGGAAGCGACACGTATAGATGGCGAGTAATGGCGTCAGCAGGTTGTGCTTCAAGTAAATATTAATATGTGAATACTTGGTAAAAATGAGTTATATATCTTTTTAACTTGTGTTGTAAACAGTGGTGGATCCAGCAAGGTTTCTTTAGGGGGTGCTGGGTGAGCAGCCAAGCACACCAAAGCCAGCATACTGCCATGAAAATGCACTTAGTACTTTCTTGGTTACAATTTACAGATATGATGTTTGTGATGTTACTCTGAGTGTATATCCACACCGGGCAAGCTTGAAAAATATGCCTGGCCACAGTGGGAAACGAACCTACGAGTGTGGATATACACTCGAGAGTAACATCACAAACATATTCACGAGAGTACATAACACAAACACAGAGAAAAAATTACAGATATGTTGAAATATAATTTAATAATTATACAAAATATAAGTGATTGTGTGAAAGAGAAAACGGAATTTTTTTCACATTTAATAATTGCTTTTGTAATTTTTATTTTCATTATCAAATACTTGTAATGCTAAATGTTTGCGGCAAAATTAAGAATTTATTTTATTCAATCAAAGTATCAAAATAAAAAAAAAAATATTGGACTTATCAGTATTTTGAACTGGTGCTATGGCCTAGAATTCCAAAACATAAGTTAATCAGCATTTGGGAGGGTGCAGGAGAATGGAGTGTCTCGTTTATTAATAGCCTGGGAACGAGGCTGGCATCTAAACAGCTTTTGACAACACGAACGTTGACCGGAAGCAAATTTGGCGTTATCAACCAACCAACATTCTTGACATCCTCGTACCCAGGGTCTTTTGGAAAGTCCCTGCGACGGAGGTTGCATTCTTGATCCAGTGTTTTAACATTACTCATGCCGTTTGTCTTTTTGCTGTATTAGCTGTTCAAGTTTTAATAAATTCGGAAATGGCTGACTTAATTCTGTATAGAATAGTCAATACTTGTACTCCCATGCTGATGCATTATTTTCTATATATATATTGTTTTAATTAACTAAAAACTTCAATAGCTCGGTCAATATTGCATTAAGTTTTCTTGTATACATCATAATATTAGTCAGCTATTTCTGAACAAAACAATACGTAGTATTTGAGTTCAACATTTGTGTTCTACGTTTAAAGTCATGCATGTTATCTTTTTAGTAGGTTCAGTACGGAACGGATATGGGGTTAAAACGCGGAACATGAAAAATCATGTCTGTTTTTAAAAAACGTTTTATTCCCGTTCCATTCCGCGTTTTAACCCCATATCCGTTCCGCATTTTAACCCCATATCCGTTCCGCATATCCGTTCCGCATTTTAACCCCATATCCGTTCCGTTCCGCATATCCGTTCCGCATTTTAACCCCATATCCGTTCCGTTCCGCATATCCGTTCCGCATTTTAACCCATATCCGTTCCGCATATCCGTTCCGCTTCCGCGTTTTAACCTAACCCCTGCTATGTGTGACTATCTGTAACTATTTATGACAATGTGAGGATATGTTGCCATGTGCTGTTATGTGTGACGATGTGTTGCTATGTGTGACTATATGTTTCTATGTGTTACTATGCCTGTAAGTATGTGTAACGACTTGTGACAAGTCTAGTGTTGTACCCTGGTGCCACTCAGGAAAAAGTGTCCCTGAGCTGTAATTATCATACCAGAACCTCCGTGAAAATGTGCCCTTAGTCTAGTCGGTGGACTGGTCCCTAGCTAATTTAAATATGGCGATCTTTTAGGTTTTTGCACGTTGTTCACTCGAAGCAAAACGTTTGGTAATTTCTTTTCGTCTCTACATTTCCACGCTCTCAAACTGTCGTCGAAAACACACGTCAAGTTTATGTACAAGAATATATAGTCAGATTTTGCAAAGGACGCGAGGGTTTGCTTAAAATTGCGATCGAAATGTCCCGACCACTTCGCGAAATAGAACCGACGAAAACGTCTAGCTTGAAGCTGTATTCGAGTTCAACTATTGAGTGCTTAGAAAGACTCGAAGGGAGCGATGAAGTCTCTACAAGAATATTTGGAAAGTCTAGTCGCTGTGGGAAATATTCTTGGCTTGTACGCGGCTCTGCACTTGAGGTATATTATTGTTTTAATAAGTTTTATCAATAGTAAATACAATTATACAAATATGCATAAAATGTTACTTTATTCACTAATATCCAGGTGTTTATGATTATTTATCCACTTGTTTATGATTTACAATAATGGCCTACCAGATTGCAGAGGATGGAACGTGCATATACGAGAATATTTTGGTCCAACATAAACTTTGCACCCTTGGAATATAATAATATGCTTACACAAAGTGTTTGTTGCATATTATTGGCAACTTTTAACAATAACAACCTCAGTGCATTTTTGAATAAATTTCAGACATGATTGCACTCTTGCACACCTAAAGTTTAGTCTTGCCCACCCAAGGTCTCGTTGGAAACTGTCGTACACTGCAGCATGGAAAGCCAGACACTGCATTCGATGTTGGCCTTCAGCATGAGTTTGGCTTGCTAGTGCACACCAGACTGTAAAGTGTTGGCTTTGCAGGAATTTTTACCCTCGTGTGTGGCGCTTGGACGTGCATTGAGTCTACTTTGTTTATTATTGTGACAAGTTTGGCAAAATTTTATCCGAAATAACGTTACTGTCGTTCCAATTGAAGTGTTGCTCAAATATTGATTCAATACATTACCTCGGGCTGACCAATTTATTTCGTCAAGTTCCTCGAGATATTCATACATTTCCTGTGAAAGAGCCAATTCCAAGTATTTGATCATTTCTGGTCACTTCCTTTCTTTTTATGATTGGTTAGTTGCACAAACAACAAAGGTGATTGGTGCATTCAAACTATTCAACAGGAAGTTTACAATTATACTAGGAAGTGTATGAATATCTCGAGGAACTTGATGAAATGAATTGGTCAGCCCGAGGTAATCTAATATTGAATCAATATTTGAGCAACACTTCAATTGGAACGACAGTAAACTAGAGTATAAATATTTAGCAAATTACAAACAAAAACAGCATAAAATATGCATAATTTCAAACACTGGTAATTTTACTATGTACATTCTCTCAAAGTTTTAATTTCAAAATTTTACTAGGATGAAAGCGAATTTTTTTCATTTTTTTTTTCAAAATTTTTTGAAAACTATAGCACTGGGGTCACCTAGCCTGTGATTATGTCATATTTTTTAAATCTTGAAGAAGTGCTGATTGGCTGTTGTGCATGATTCCGGTACAACATGACCGCCAGTTATTTTGGTAAAACTACCTTACGGTTTTCCCGCAGAAATGACACCTCCGTATGTATAATATGGTTAGGTACCACTCTGTACCTTGGGCACAGAATAAAGACACACATAAGCATATAACCACTGCCATGCCATGATGTGTCATCAAAATGCTGATGCCATGGGATTTATCTGAGGCATTCACCCCATAATAATATGGTGTGTTTTGATCCCCCATCATAACAATAAAATCCACGTATGCTCAGATTCGACTGGATATTATCTTTAATATTATTGATTTGTGCATTACTTTCATATGTAGTTAGGGAATATTTTATGGCTTCTGTTATAAAAATGTACCGACAAAATACAAATATAACAAATGCATAAATTATTAAGTGTCCATTAGAGGCATAATAGGCAGCCACACACTAATTTAACATTTGTTATTGAACTGGACAAGTGTAGACAGACACTACTTTGCATGGTGTACACAAACTAGATTCTGCTACGTTGGACTACAACTGATAAACTCGTACTAATATTGGATTCAATACTGTTAGTTTCAAGATATTGGTATGCCGAGCAGTTCCCTAACCTTTCTTTGACGTGATTGTGGAAACTGCTTAGTTTTGATAGATGGCAGACTTCGATGTCTCACAAAATCTTGAGCTTCTCCAACTGAACATACATTGATCTTCTATTATACTAATAACTAGGGGTGCACTGGAACTCGGACACTTGGTTCAGGCTAGAACAATTTTTCAGAGTTTCAGTTCCGGCTGGAACTAATAAAAAAAACATGGCTGGAACCGGAACTTTGTCGTTTTCAGAGAGATAGGAAATCATGTTTATTTATTGAATAGCATAGGAAGAAATTTGGACTACACATGAAAAATGTACACTCACTCTGATAACACTTCATTATGACGTTTAATGTTAGTCAATCTTTTTATTCGAACATTTCCGAGCTCTCTCCTTGATGACTGAAAGTGTGTGCATGACTGTCTGGCAGCAGACAAAGTAACATAGTTGATATGACCATATATTGCTTAATGAATCAGTTCTTGTTCCGACCGAAACTTTTTTCCAGTTCCGGCCAGATTCGGTTCTGGCCGGATCTTTAAAAATTGGTTCCAGTGCACCCCTATTAATAACTTTTTGTTGATTTATTTATATACCGTATAGGAGGGGTGCACCGGATTTCAAATCCGGCCAGAATTCCGGCCGGATTTAACGAATTTTCCGGTATCCGGCATCATTTCTGTTTTCACCTTAAAAAATTCACCAAGAATGGGGTAAACCATCAATTTGGCAGCTTTAAAGTTTAAAAAACACTTATATCATTATAAAATATTAAGTTATTAACAAAAAGATATTTAAAAAAGGTTTAAACACAATCAAAAATCTAAACTGACACCAACTAAAAATAGTAAAAAACATAAACCGCCATTTTGAATACTGATTTATCCCCAATTGTCCCCATTACTGGTTTATCTCAAATCCGGCAAATCCGGCCGGAATTCCGGCCGGAATTTTTGTCCAAATCCGGTAAATCCGGTTCCGGCCGGATTTGAAAATTCCAAATCCGGTGCACCCCTACCATATAGTACCCCTATCGACCAAGTACATTTATAGAAGTGACTATTCCACTTTTGACTCATTTTTTTCATTCTGCTAATTTACTGTAGGTCATTAATCCAACATCAGGCCAACGGCTCTCTGCTTGGAGATTTGGTTGGAGTTCAAGCAAAAAATTGTCATTTTCAATTAATTGTGTGGAAGAATTACCTACACCTGACAGTCTGTACTTGCTTGTCGGCTTGCAGAATATGGCAGGATCTTCTGGAATGGTGTGTTTATTTGATCCAGTGCTATCAAGAGTCATTAAAGCAATCGAGTTTCCAAGAGCTGTCACAACACTTGAGTGCTTGACAACATCAGGTGGAGCCAATGCACCACAACATTCGATAAGGTATTTTAGTGCAGATATGGAAATTTACTAATTTTCTGATAACCAATATAATCATGCATTAACACTTATGACTTGTGTATACATGTACATTTATAACGCCTTTGCAGGGCGCAATAATTCGCGTACCAACGTACAGGAGGTATGCCGAAATTATGGTCTGGTGCTTCTTTGACTGTTTTTAGCCGAGTACCACATAGGTACACAGGAATTTGCTATTCGCGTACTTACATTTCCCTTCTATAGAAGTAAAAGTATTCAAAACCGTCAATAACTTTAGCTGTACATGTTGTTAACTTTGTATCGTAACTTTGGTATCAAGGTTGTTAACTTTGGTATCTATCTGTGTTTTTGGCATCTACGTAGTAGACGCTATATGCTATCAAGTTATCAACTAGAGTGGAGGCTTGTTAACGCTACAGTATGTCCATAAATGGTTCGACAAGGTTAGGCTGTCAGCACACTCGGTAAATCTTCTGTAACTGAGCGTCGCCAATGGCATCCAAGTTGCAACAACGCTTTGAAAACTGTTATGTTATGTCGTACAAATAACATTAATTAAAGATTTGTTTCCACAAAATTGTGCATCGTTTTTGCTTTTAGACCAGTAAACCATTCAATGTGATCTAAACGTCTTAGGCTGTTGGAACCATTAAAATGTTTATCATGAACTAAACAAATTAATAAATGTGGAGCATTTAGTTTTATGTGTGATAGTATTGCATACTAGTAAACTTATTTAATTAAATATATAAAATTCAGAAAGGTTTAATTTTTCCCATCAAAGGCTGTGTGCATTATATACGTAAGTACTGTATGTGTAAAATGCAAGACTCGGAAGCAGTGGCGGAAACTTTGCGAAATTTTGGGGGGCGAGTGCCGAAGACATGAGTTTTTTAGGGGGGTCTGGGGGCATGCCCCCCCAGAAAATTTTTAAAATTTGGACCCCTGAAATGGCATTTGCAGCATTCTGAGAGCGCATTTTGTAAGAAATTCCAGGTTTTCAAAACATTAAGTTAATGGTGAATTTTGGTTTAAATCATGTGGTAAACATAAAAAACCGGTAATCTGAACTTGCAGTACGTAATAAATATCTAAACCAGAGAAGTGAAAGAACACCTGAAAATTACTACCTATAGAATAGATACTGTATAGTCCGTAGTAAATTTGATACAATTAATTGCTATTGTTTTATGAACACTTGGGAAAATACTCTATATTATATATGCATGTATATCATAAATTTAAGAGCCTATATACTGCCGTAACTGGACACGATTAAGGTTACATCATTAGAAGCTACTGTTTTACACCTTTTAAACATTGTGGTCAAATTTGGGACGAATCGGATAAAACGCTCTGTAGTTAATTTAAACTCTTTTTTGTCGAGGAGATTGGGTAATTTTGCTTTGTCTTCAAACGACCATATAAGATTTGGCCATTTCTGTCATTTTATCCGCCCCCAATGTTAATCCACTTGTGGCCAAACCACAAAATGTGAACTTTGCTGGTGTCAAATATCAAGGTGTGGGATTCACTAAAGTATAAGTTGTTGTTCGGAGGCATATATCATTGCGACAACATTAGAGAGCTTATAATATAGTATTTACAGAATCTCTCGAAGTTCAAGCTATGCGCGATGTTGGCTTCGGTGACTTTTCTACTGCGTTTGCGTTTTGGTTTAGACCGTTCCTTACTAATTGTATTTAATCGCAAGAGGTCAGACGGTCAAAAATCCCGAATCGTACAGTTTAAGTAAAGACTTGTAGCACAGCTAGCGCTTAAAACTAATTTCATCTTTAGCTTGTTTTTATTAAAACTTACCATTTCGTTTCCTTATATTGTGCTTTCATTTTTCAAAATGAATTATGAAATCTAGCTAAAATATAATGTTAGTAAAATTTTGGGGGGGGGGCGATCGCCCCCCCCTAGTTTCCGCCACTGCTCGGAAGTAGCCTTAGGTACATCTTGACTTGTAAGTTTGTACCAGCTCAAGTACATCCTCGTACCCAGGGTCAAAATAGCCTGGGTACGAGGTTGGCTCAAGTACTCTGCAAGATTATTTGGAGTACCAGTCCGGTACGGCTAAAAATATTGAATTATCGCACCCTGCTTTGAATATGACTACTGGTATGTATTGAATTTATATCGGTACATTTGGGCAGTAAGTATTGCTTTTCCCAAAAAATGGCTGTAAATCAGACAGAAATAAATTATTTATGCAAATTATATTCATAAGATAAGCATGTGTATTAGTTGTATTTATAAATACAACTTTTCAATACTGAAATTATGCTAAAACAATTAGTCACCTTAGGTTTGGTGATTACAAACCTATATTCACTTTGCCTTCGGCTCAGTGAATATAGCCTAACCTTGTAATCACCTCGCCTTCGGTGACTAGTTGCTAAGTAATTACCAGACTTACAACTTTAGGTAACTTGCATGTAAAGCATTTTACGTTCTACCTCCTGTATCAAGTTACAGTACAATGTTCAACAAAAACATGGAATATAATTAATTTTCGAATGGCATCATCGGTGCATATCTTCATTGATGTATATGGCGGGAAATAGGATGGAAAACTAGTAAAGTCCTTCTGTAAGAGGAGCCACACAAATTAAATAGGGATTTGAAAAGGACTTTGCAAAAGTCTGTTTGAAAAAGCAGTGATAGACAAATTTGGCTAATGTTTGTTTATATCTCCAATTCACATCTTTAGGTAACTCACATGCCTAGTGTAGTTACTATTGATCTATGTTTGTGATGTTATTCTGAGTGTGTATCCACAACAGGCAAGCTGAAAAGTTTACCTGACCACGGTGGGAATTGAACCCGCGACCTTTGGGATACTAGTCCAATGCTCTACCAAATGAGCTACAAGGTCAAGTCGGTTTGAGTTGGTGATATTTCGGAACTGAGTCTAGTTCCTACAATATCAATGTATTCTAAGATATGATGAAAAAATATATCTTCGATTACGTTGATATCGAAGGAACTATAGACTCAGTTCCAAACTATCACCAACTCGAACCGACTTGACCTCATAGCTCAGTTGGTAGAGCGTTGGACTAGTATCCCAAAGGTCGCGGGTTCAATTCCCACCGTGGTCAGGCACACTTTTCAACTTGTCCGGTGTGGATGCACACTCAGAGTAACATCACAAACATAATTATAATAATATTCACCTGATTACAAAACACCAACACACACAAAGACTATGATACTATTGTTCTAATTTACGGAAGCATAGAATAGAACAAAGGTAGCTAAGCTTTAGAAAGTTGAGTGAATAACTTTAAATGTTACCAATGTTAGCCAAATTTGTCTATTGCACTAGAAAGGCGGGCCATCAAATAATGCAAAACCATTTTAAATGTGTATTGATTTCATTCATTACTAACTTTATTCAGTTACATGTCATGCATGTGTTTTTAATCTTCCCAGTTGGTCTTTGCTTTCTTGTCTGTACTTTTCTACTCACTCAATGTATTAAGCAACGATCGAATTTCAGCTCGCGGCGCCCTCAACATCAATTGTGAAGTTTTAAATATAAATTTCGTCATTTCTTAATTTGGTCTATTTTAAGTTATCCGACCAGCAGTTGGCATAAGAGATTAACAACTTAAACTCGAATGAAAAGTTTAATACGAAGAAACTCCTTGCATAATATTTAACAGGTCAAAAACAGCGCAAAAATCAATCTTGTTCCCAGAGCCAAAATATGGTCGGTCACTGTATTACCAGCGTCATACAAATTTGACCAGTCATTAAAATTTGGCCAGTCATTGACCAGTGACCGTCCGTTATTTTTAGCCCGGGGATTCGACTTACGCATGATAACAAGAAGTATTCAGACCATTTTCAATATTGTCTACGGAAGCAGAGCTCAGAGTCATCCAATGTTAAATTTGTCTAACAGAGAAATTGGAGTTTGATGTCTCATGAAGACATTTGTGTTTATCACTGTATTATCTTTTATTCGTAGTGCTCAGTTACGTCTGATGTTTGGAGTGGCTGCGGTCGGCATGGATTGTGGTCATGTGTACCTGGTTGACCTGCGGCTAGATGATGATGTCGAGGAATTTGATGAGTGGAATCCAAGTCATTTGCAAATTGTCGACCTAGATAATCCTAATATTGCATTACTCAGGAGCAGAGCTAGGGAGGATGGAGCACATATGGCATTTGAGTTGGGAGGTTTGTGTTATGAACATTTAATATAATATCATAAATGACCTTAAACATATTTTGAGTTGTTTCAAAGTTATTCTTATAGACAGCTTGGATATGACTTCTGAAACGAACCATGCATTACTCTTGAGAAATTCAACTCAAAATAAAGAAGTAAAAACAGTCAGATTTCTATGCCAAAACAAATGTTGTGTTCACTGTCTATCTAAGGTCTCAACTAATTGTATACTGAGGCCGAGATTTCTAGAATGTTGAAGTCAGCAAGCCAATTCGCACATTCAAAGACCTCGTTCTCAGTTCGGATAAAATGCGAGTTAAATCATGACATGCAAGAAATTCAAACAAAATGTTTATTTGTTCAAAGTGCATCCAGGTATATCTGTAGTACGAACTGTACAACAATGTTTGATAAATTTGCATACGTCTCCAAGTATATTTTGCGCAGGGCTAATTGGCTAAACAAAACTTAAGAAAGTGACAATGAATGCTTTTATTTAAGGACGGAAACACCGCGATCAGACGCGGTCTGTACTCAAAAGACTGGAAATAGTGTTGTCTTCCCGAAGCTCTAGCAAAAATACGAGAGTTTAACTCCGTATAACTACGTCTTGACACAAGGAAAAAGTGGCGAAATTCTCTACCTTATACCTTCAGCCGTTTCCTTACAGTAAACGCTTTTCTTTTCCCTTATTTACTCCTACAATATACTTTTGGCAGACATTTCCCCCGCCATTTCCGTATTCTCGCGCACGCGCTTTACGTTTGACTGAGGTGTTAAGGCTGGATGGATATAGATCCATCATTCCATACTGCCGACCTATACGTAAAGTGAGGTGATAGATGTGTGGAGACAAATGCACTTTTTTTGGTTTATATTTAACAGTTATTTTGCAAACACGAGTCCTATATGAGCTGATACCTATAAAGCACGGGTTCAATCCCCCTCCCCCCTAACTTATCACTCTGTTTACCTATCGTTCAATGCCCTCGTCTCACCCCCACGGAATGTCATCTACTATCCCTACATTGCCACAACAATATCTACGCTGTCATTAAACAGAGTTCAATATAATTCTGAAAAGTTGGTCTGACATTGTGTCAGACCAACCCATGTTTCGGTCGAACATGATCCGACACTTAATTATTCTTGGTTTCTAGAACTGTGACAAAACCGTACTGACAACTACCAAAAGTCCAAAAACCATATGCATATAAATTATGCATAATAGTTAACAAAATTACACAATATCAACGACAACTTACTCAGTAACAGTATATATAACATAAAATATTTCTCTTAACACACGAGATCACATTGTTATTGTATGGATCGTTACTAAGTCAGATTCTGTGATTGTCTAGCAGACGGAATTTTTTTTTTGCATGTGTTAAAGATTACAAATTTTGTTAAAAAGATTTGCAACAATAAAGGAAAAATTATTCAAATTAATGAGACAAAACGGTCGGCCATAATGTCCGTGCAGAGTAATCAGTAAACGGCCATATCAGCATTTTGCTCGGCTATATAATGGCCGGTGGCCGACCGTTTTATTGACCCCTGCCATTAAACCATAATAAGTAATCTTAGCCTCTGCGGAGGAGTGACTTTGTGAGACATTTCTGAAGCGTATTTTAACTTCTGGCCGTGTATCATGCTCATTTTCGCACAATAGCCGGTTCCCCTTTATATTGCGTATTCTGAATACAACTACCAGCATGCTTTTCGGACGCGTTATTGCATATTACTTCAACTGTTTTAAAACAGAAATTAAACGACCAAACTTTTACACATGCAAATGATAGTTTGAGATATAAATATCAGAACAAAGAGGCAACAAATAAATGCATTTACATAAAAATAAAAGCCTTCAAGTTTACCTTCAAAAGTCGCCATTTTGCAATGCGGTCGCGAGTTCGGTACCAGCCTCCTGCTTGAGAAGATTTGCTAAAATGTAAAAATCCCCCACCTCCTGGGGCAAGAAAAAGGATCAAATCCCCGTCTAATCTCCATCAAGTCCCCGGGGTTTGGGGGGGGGGGGCTGTTCCCAGTGACAAGTGCATGCATTACTGCTAGATGCATTTACCACATTATATACACAGATTTATAACACTAAGAAACCAAAACTTTATAATAATATAGAACTGACAGTGACCAAAGTAGCAAACCTTACACCTGTATTAAAGAACGTCGCAGAAAGAACAAAGATCCGAAGCCGGACTGCCGAAGGCCTTTCAATACTTGTGCTTCCACGTGAATGTTAAAACGTCCAAATTCGAATTAAGGATAAAATTGAATAAAAGAAAGGAACGTTTCTGATTATCAAAATATTTATCAACATATGTTTTCATAAAGCAAAGCAGAACTATCTTGCTCCAAAATTGTGCTGAACTATATCAAGTCTGTTTTATCAATGTAATCAATGTAATGAATCGATGTAAGTATAGTTGCTTTTGCATGCCTTAATGTCTAGGAACGCAAGGTTCCACGGCGTGGAAACACCACGGAAAAATAGCTTACTGCGCATTTCCGATCGCGCATGGCCACAATGCAGTGCGCTGGAATGTTTTGAGATAAAAATCCCCATCTACACAAATTAGATCTGCTGCGTCGCTCGCTTCCATGTTTTAAAATTTGAACGCTCGACAAGCAGTAAACTCAAAAGTACTGTCCCGTTTGAAATTTGAACGGTATGTCCATACATGAAAAGGCGAACTGCAGTAATTAGAAACCGGCTTTAGGGACTGTTCGTTAATTATGGCCAGGGGGGGGGGGCTGGTGTTCAGAATAGGGGGTACAAATTTCAAAATCAGAAAAAAGTGGGGGGTACATTTTTTGAGTCGATGAAAAATGGGGGGGGGGGGTACAATTTTAGTTCTAGCAATTTCATATATTGCTTGACTTTGATACTATGCAAAGAAAATTTTGGGCAAAAATAAAAGAAATTTCTAAATTAGCAGAAAAACACTATTAATTAAAACAGAATATTTTGATAAATTTTAAAAACCGAAATTTTTTTAAATGAAAAATATACTAATATAATCTCGACCCCAGACTATAGATTAAGTGTGGACAGATGTGTAACTTCAGTAAAAAAGTTGTCCCATGGGCGCCATTTTCCTAGCAAGTGTCGCTCGCGTGATCACAACCTCGTTGGCGTGATTATGCGTCATTTGGTAATAATGTAATTGCTTTTGAAAGTGCTTTCAACACCTAGCTTTTCTACAACTTTACAAATGATGTTCTTGATTGTTTTTTTCTCGCATGATTTTTTTTTTTTGGGGGGGGGTACAATTTTTAAAACGTTGAATTTTAGGGGGGTACATTTCTTGATAAACTCCCTAAAAAATAAACACCCCCCCTGGCCATAATTAACGAACCTCCATTAGCGAAGCTAGAAATTGCATGCAGCTGCTCAACTTCATGCTAACACGTTTTTGGTTCTTTAATTATTCAAACCTTTAGAAATGTATTGTCTTTAGTCTGTCTTTAGTCACGTTGATTTGCACAGTATGACCACCAGATTAATTGTACATCAAAATCGAAAGAAAATGCAGCTTTGTTATTAGTTCAATAACAAAGTGTGAATGCAGAAAGTTATAGTTATGGAAGACATTATCGAAGGTAATAGCAATAAAAAGATCGAGTTTATGTCAAGGCAAAGATTCTTTTCTCGCTTCAGTGTTTGGTGGTTCTTGGTACGAGACAAAAAAGGCTCGAGACAAAGATAGGCGTGTCTTTCTGGACTTCAATTCAAAATTATCTTGGATTATTTTCGCGAGAAAGCTTTTATAACTTCTAAAAGTGCTTTAATATTATCTAAAATTGTCCAAATTTTCTGTTTAATGTATGAAATTTTTACCGGAAGTGGGCTTTCTGTGCTCGCAGGAAAACTACCCACAGTAAACAATTGCAGATTTTGATTGGCTTAGAGCGAAATTGTCAACAAATGCGGTGATTGGTCGAGAACGAAATTCCCCCTCGTTGCGGCACACGTCACATTTTTGTGACACGATATGAAAGCACTCTTTGTATGCATATATGTACACAAAAGGGCCGAAGTATAAAGGAAGCAGCCAAGCACATCAAATAGACATCGAAATCGAAAGGACACGAAGCTACCTTACAAATTCGATAATGTTAAACATTCGGAATCCAACAACTCCAGCAATGGAAGTCGAAACAAGAGAAGGCAATGTGATCGAAGTCATCGAACTAAATGTTGGTGGGACAATAATGGCGACAAAAAGATCGACTTTATGTTTAGTCAAAGATTCTTATCTCGCTTCAATGTTTGGTGGTTCTTGGGACGGGACAAAAATGGCGCGCGACAAAGACGGCCGCGTCTTTCTGGATTTCAATCCAAACCATTTTGCCGTTATCTTGGATTATCTTCGCGAGAAAGCTTTTACAACTTCTGAAGCTTCCCTAGCTTTGTTTAAAATTCCCCCAGAAGAAGTCGAGAGTGTTATTAAACTTGTTGACAATCTTGGATTAAGCTTGGATGAGATGCGGCTACCAAAGTTCCCCAAGACTGAAGCGTTCCAATTCCATAGTGAAGGCATTAAACTGGAAGAAAATGGTGCTGTGGCAGGCACGACTAACACGAGGAGTCGTCGTGTCGTTGGTCAAAATATTTACGAGCGCGGAGTGTTTCGAATCAAATTAAGCCTTGAGCATCTGGGTTTTAATCAGAATGAGACTAGCGAAGTCGGAATTGGTATGATCAAAGAAAAGTTAGAAAACGAGAAGAAAAATGATTTTTCTTTGCCAGTAGCTTTTTATGGATGGGGGATTTTCTTCAAACAGTTGAAAGTGTACAGCAGTAAACTAACTGACGATCGAATAATTCCCATGCAGTCACATGATGAATTCATGCGGCAAGTCGAGATGGTTGAACTAGTATTAGACTGCGATGCAGCAAAATTATACCTTAACACCAAAAACGGCAAACAGTATCATGTCGACCTGCCTAAGTGGACTAAGTATAGACTAATGATTAAAATGGGTGAACACATCATTTCCAAAATTCGTATTGTTGAATTCCGTAAGGAATACTAAGTTAGTCTATAGCAGTATGTGCTTGACCCTCCTGTGTCAAGGAGAAACGCTGACGAAGGCCTGTTTTATAATAAAAGCGACAAAAATGGTTTCTTTAGGACATATTGAACCAGGTTTTTAGTATGTTTTTCTTTTACATTATAAAATAAATAGACATATAAACGATTATAGGTTATATTACTAATTACTGTAGTTTCAAATATGAAACTATAGCTTTAGCTAAAAGTAGTATAGACTCGTATAATTACTAGTTATAGTTTTGTGTATAACTCATTCAGTTATAACGTATATTTATATTTGTGTAGCAGTTAACATTAGCTATAGCTTTTTATTGTAAAAAGTTTCAAAATGTCATCGTTTACTGAATGCAAAATTCTTTATTATGTAACTTTATACCACTACAATCCGCTGTCAAGCGAAATTCTTGACCTCTGCGAAATACCTGAACAAGCGTAACGGGTCAGAAACTTCGCACGTTTAGGCGCGAAATACATGACGCTTGCTAAATTCTATGTCGGCCAAAACTGCATGTTTTTTAGAGTTTATAGATAAAATAATCATGATGTTAATTTCTAATACTTCGTTAAATATTTCAAATCGACATCGCTAAGTTTCAATCATAAACACTTTAAATTTCAAAGCGAATTGTGTGGTCGTTGACCGCGAAATACACGACGTTTGCTAAATACAATCGGTCGAAACGATTTTTAAGTCCATATGCGATGTTACCAAATGTTTCTAATTTAGACATCGCCAAATCTAAAAGGCCAACTCACGAACTCATTGTTGCTGCTTACTAAATAGTGAGAAGGTCAAACGCGAAAGATTTTTGGTGCTTATAGTATAGTAATGCATATAGCATAACCTTTTAAACTGGAGTCTATTTTATATCACTAAGTCTAAGAGCGCTTTTCGAGTGGTCAAGACCATTAACGGCACTCTATTAAAACTTTTCTTTGTGATCTTCCTACTACACAACTGGAAAAATGTTTTCATTAACGCCCCCCCCCCCCCTAGCAGTGTTGAATGTACCACGGTACTGTGTTCTGGGAGTTTTTCTAAATTGCAATAACATTTTTTGTACAAGGTCATCACAACCAAATTTGGGAATTCCCTTGCAAGGCTGAGCCCTGAAATTCCTTGGTTTTTCTTGAGATGTTTTTCCACGCTTGGAAACGAAAACACGGAAAAGCCGAAAACCTGCGTAGTAACGGGATGTTCGCCAAGTAGCTTTATATTAGGCTGCATTTCTGCAAGTGAGGGCTAGTGAACTCTAAGGGAACGATAACGTATGGCCGCCATCTTCATTATGGCCGCCATGTACGTATGAAGTGGGATTTACGCCACCGAAAAGACATCTGTTTTTGAGCACTAAATAGCTGTATTTCAACAAGGAAAAAAGCTAAAAACTTTCAACAATACTTGAGATTTAATACAAAACATGTTTCAAGAACGTAGAGCAGTTTTAAAGTTATTTTCTCAGGCGTCAAAGTGCGAAGTTTTTCGGCACGTTCAAACTTGTGTAATATTTTGAATAGGAAACTGTTACCCAGGAAGTTTTTGCTGTAGTGAATGTTAAATACTTAGAACTATTCAGAAAACTAGGTTTGAATCTTTAAAGTTGAAGATTTTTGATATAAAAGTACTTTTCTTGCTGATTTTCGCTCAAAAACAAACAGTTTGACTGAATTTCCCGCTCCTCGAAACTCTCCCTAGTCCTTTTGAAAGTTAATTTATTGCTCGCTGAGCCTCGCGAGCGCTCGGGAGAAGCGCCATCTTGGCTTCGGGCAAGTATGGACATGTTTACCTGTAGTTAGCGTTCCAGTGTTATTACAGTTCACTGGTGAGCGGCAACCTCTCCTACCCATATTATAAGTACATAAATCAGTCGCATTTTTAGTTTGATCTTAGATTGTTTTAAATTCCTTAAAATCCTCAGAACTTACTGCCGGGTTTTAAGGAAAATTCATTAATGAATATTACAAAAGTTCAGTAACTGGTAGCACAAGTGTCGCAGTAGGCTCAGTCCCAGCCGTTCCCTCTTGGCGGCTCTCTGGAGGAACGGCTGGGCGCATGCAGTGCGTTCCGTGTCTGATCACGTGTTATTACTAATTCCAATATGCGATATTTCCGCATAAATTATAGAATGTTTATTTTTATATGGATGAGTGTAATAATACAAGTCATTATTAAAATAGCCAGAAATGCTTGCCAGGTTGGAAAAAAACGCGATGAATTGATTGAATGACATCTAAGAACTTAAAAACTACACCATGTGAATTAGCATCTGTTCGTGGATGTTTCGTATGTTTGTTCTACCGGCTGAAGTTGAAAATGTAAAATATCGCACGAAAATCGTAGAGAGAACGTGGGAATTGCTGGAAAATGCTTGTGATATTTTGTGTGCCATGCAATAAATATTTGTGCCGTTCATTCCTGAGACAAGTTAACAAGTGCACCAAACTACAACAAGAAATTGATGATTGTAAAAATCATCTCAAGAAAGTTTATATAAGGATGAGAGATTTAAACGCTGTGTTTACCCACCAACGTAGAAACATCTCCACATGCATACGGCGCCCTCAAAGAAATCGGCTAGGCTATCAACGACGTTAAACCCCAAAAACTTGTTTTTAAAAGGAATGAACTTCCAAATGAGCTCTGCGTCGAGAAGTCCAATGTAAAATTGCTACAAACGCTATTAAGGATCTGTCTGGTGTTCCAAATCTATAATACGAGACATAATAATATGTAATACGAGACATAATTATGATAATTATTTAGCACCGCGATTTGCGGTGCTAGTATTTTGATTGGCTAAACGAAACAATACGCACTGCATGCGCCCAGCCATTCCCTCCAATAGAGCTCCCAAGAGGGAACGGCTGGGACCGAGCCTAGTGTCGCAGATGTTTTGTCCAGGATTTTAGCTTTTTGTGAAATCTAATCAATTTCGTAACATATGAACTGACTATTTTAACAAATTTTTACGAACCTTTTTAGCAGTGAGTTGTATTAACTGTTAATAGTTAACAATAATCAAAATTATCATTGTTTTCCTTTGCGGCAACACCGCTTTCGATCTGTAATACTTTGCGGAAATACCGCTTTCGATCTGAAATATTTGCATCTGGGCTTGTTATATAGGAGCTCTCAGGTGGTGTGTGTGTGTGTGTGGGTATGGTGTGTGGGGGGCTGAGCCTCGCTTGTTAAAACATTCATGCCGGTTTGGGGGCTGACCTCCCAATATTTTGCAGATTTCATATTCATAACCTGGAAAGTTCTTTGCAACTGTAGTGTTGAAATGATGTGGTAATGATGTTAGCAATCTGTACTTGATTACTATGATCAAACTATTAGGTCATGTATGTGGCACCAACATGAAATAGCTTCGGTATATCGGAATCTTATTTGAAGTTGAGTCCTTTATTCAAAAAGAACTAAATATAAATTGAGGAATTACTGTAGAACCAAAAGTAGATACTGGAACCTCCACGCCTTGTCTCCCTCACGTCTTGTCACCCCCCCCCCCTGTTATCATTTCAGTTTTTACCACTGTTGACTGGATATTACAGGTCAAAACTGTCATCTCTTATCAACTTTTGAACCTTGATGAGAATTGACCGACAAACGTGAGCGAGAGTTGCAACACTCATCACATCCTCCTTTGACCGGGGCTTTGCAATGAGATTGCACTTCTCTCAGCCCATGCCTGTCAGATGTTGGGATCCTAGGTAGCGGCACTACCTGCAAGTGCCTGAAGCTAACTGCAATCCCTGGTCAGAAGGTCTTATGCATGCTTAATTAAGTAAAGTAGAAAATTTCAATTTTTCCCAATACATTTTGCAATATTTACCAACCAGATTTAATAAGAGTCGTACTAAAGACGTAAATTCATCAAATGATGCCATCAAAAACTTAACATTGTTGAGAAAAGTTTATTCAAACAGTCTGTGTTTTCTGTCTTGATTTCCATTCATTGAATAGTGTTACATGCAAATGCCATTATTTTAATACAATTTTGACAATATTAAACATAACTCAAAAAAATTTTGTTAGTGCCTGATGGCCTGTCATAAATTTGCAATTCGCAAGCGAAGTGGGCAAGTTTGGACCATGCAGGGCTAACTGCAAATTTTTTTTGGGTACCTGCAAAAAAAACTAAATATACAGGCATGTCTCAGCCAATCATCCATAGTTTTCTGATACATGTAACACTGTCTGCAAGGAATGTGATAAAAAATATATAGTTAACATATTACCACTGATGAAGATCCGGGCTTACGGATCGAAAGCTTTGCAGTAATAAATTTACGTGGTGTTTCCACAAACAAAACTATTATATAAATATATAGTTAACTCTTTATTTTTTCCTAAAGGTGAATGTCATATGCTGGGAAGTTTTTCCTATGCCTCGCCAGAGGGAGAAATTCTGGGCAACTACGCATCAAGTAAGTCAAAAGATTAAGACCAAACTTTTTTTGTATGTTTTACAATAGGCGCTCAAAACTAACGAGCTTAACGAGCATAATATACCACTTACATGCATGACTACATCAAAAATTATTAATTATTAACACCTTGGCTATAGAGCCTCGTTCTCGTGATTGTAACGCTTCTATAGCCAACCAAGGTGACGTATTTCCGGAAGTGTGTATTGTATTTTGATTGACATTTTTTTTCTATTATGTCGTGTTTCTCAACCGCCAGATGCATTTAACGTGGTAAAACTAGAAAATAAAATATAAAAAAGTCGTACGGCAAAAAGATTTTAGGTTTGGACGCTTTTCATCGCAAATACGCGACGTAAAATTGCCTCTTAGTAAAGGCTGCATTCCAGTTACGCGTTTTTCATACGTGCGTGTACGCACGTAAAAGTTGAATTCGCTTAAAATTTCATATAAGTGCAAATAACCTTAACAAATACACATTAAATCATACCCAAAACTGAATGCTGTCCTTTTATAAATTTAGTTATTTCATAAGTAGGATGTAAAGCGAATTCAACTTTTACGTGCGTGTACGCACGTATGAAAAACGCGTAACTGGAATGCAGCCTTAAGAACACAGCAGATCACCACATAGACCAGTACAGTCGAGCAGGTTTCCCTTGACTAGTTTTCGTGAACTTTCTTGTATGTATAGTCGAAATGTTTCAGAGCCTGGAGATAGATTTTTTGTTATATTTTAGGTGAGATAATTATCACTAGTTTGAAATACATTCGACAGTTGGGATCTCTTGTTGTGGGTTACAGTTTTGGATGTTTTCAGATCTGGGATTTGGAACAACATTCCCGGGAGTAAGTGTGAAACGTTTTTTTCTAATGGGGAACTCTCTTCAGTATATCTTGCTTGTTCACGTAAGTGTGGTTAAACTACTCTTAGAATGGCCAGTCCCTCTAACCTTAACCAACAAGTAAAACGTCGACGTTTCGAGCGAGTTCTCTTGTGATCGTTTGACCAGTGAGTTGGGAAATCTCTCATGGAGAGTCTCGACGTCCTTGCTCTGACTTGATGTGCTTGAAAGAACTTGTAAAAGTACGATCAAACGAGTATGAGAGTTGCCAATCTCGCTTGTGTTTGACCGCCAAATCGCATTGACTCCTGCCCTTTCATCAATTTGAGCTTTTTTCAAATTTTGATGTCAGTGTCACGCGTGCTAATAATATCCAATTAAGTTCTTTGTGGGTTTGCATGGCGATAAAACATATAATACTTCACAAAGCATTAATAATTCATGAGGAAAACACAAAGAAAAATCATAAGCGTGTCGTATCTTTATATGTGATAGAGATTTCCCTTGATTTACATAAACTTTAACTTTGATTTTCTCGACTTACACAACGTAGTTTTTGAAAATTACTTTGCCAATGAACTTACTAGATCGATCGTTTTTGAAGCGATTTAAAACATTCGCAGTGCGTGTTTTCTCAGGCCTAAAGATACTCCGCTTCACCTTGTATCTTTATCAGTATCTGATAAAACACTGCTGATCATATTTTAAATAGTGCATAGAATTTCCACTCGATAATTTCCATCTACAATACCCTTCCACTAATATCTCAACGAAATAATTCAAGAAAATTAAATGAAATTTGGTAAGTGCACGTAAGCAATTCTTCATCATTATCATCAAGTTACTTTCAAGTGATGCATAAAAATTGGGGAGAAAGTTTCGTGCCATGTGCACTGAGTCTTTAGAAGTATACCACACTGTATTTGAAACAAAAACCTGGGACTATAACCTCAAATTATCGAATAGCGATTGGATACTCTAATTTTCAGGTTGGAAAAGCGTAATGCTGTGTTACTGTTTTTGTGATTGTTATGAGGAAAATGTGGAAAATGTGTTTTAGCGCACATATATAAATACTGTATGTTTCGATAGAAATTTTGTAGTAATGTAACGAAGGTAAAAATTGGACGAGTCGTGCAGTCATGATTCATGAATACACTGCATGCTACATATATATGTTCAGTGCATGCATACATCACGTCGTAGTTGACTTTTCGGGTGTTACTTTCTATGCCCTAACTTTCCACGCGGGCGTGAGCTAGGCCGCTGGACCTCCTCCATTTATTTTCCCACCTTCCCAGTTATTTCCACTAAAATCCGGCCTTGGTTTAAAGTCCCCTGTAGAGGGCTGTTTAGAACTGAGGAGTTGTCAGCATAAATAAAGTTAGCTTTAGTTTCGAGATCCAGTTGTTTATCGAGTTTCCGCCACTTAAAAATGACTTTGTATTTATGTACATTTTAGATTCAGCAGCTTATTTGGTGTTTACATGTTACCTGTGACTCATATAATTTACCAGGTGCGCAATATATTCAAGTCTGTTATGGTCAATAATGCAGGGTTTGTTGCAATTTGAAGTTGTTAAACAGTTGTTGTTATAGGGCTTGTTCATGCACCCCGTTTGGCTTGAAGGTCAATTTAATAATAATTCACCCTGGTGGAACGAAATTACGAAATATGTTGTGCGCTTTTCATGTGAACACGCAATGATTTTTCGTTTGCAAGGACTTTCTCACTTGGGGGCTGCTTGCATGTGTAAACGTCAATTAACGCTAATTGCGTTTTATTACACACAAGATTTTTGATCAAATATTTGATAAATGAACAAGCTGTTTTCTTTAGAGCATCGCATGGCGTTCATAGTAAAAATAAGGAACAATTTGTGATTACACCATGTATTTAATTTCATTCTGAGTTTTCGGCTTGTGTACTCGGGGCGCCGTCTTCAGAGAAAGAGTGAACATTAGATTGCGTCTGTAAACCTAGATACAGTTAATGTCGCGTGCGCAAATATGCGTACGCCAAATTTAAATACAATAATTCAACAACTCTAAATTGGAAACAACCTAGTCATAGAAAAGTAGAAATAAACTAACTGTTAAAATTAAAAAAGGGATGTCCAAGTGTCATTAAGTGGCTTGCCATCTTGCGGAATTGTCCGATGTTTAAAAATCTCTATTGATTCCCTCATTTTCCGCTTTGACGTTTTTCTTTAACCTAGGATCACGCTAACCAGCTGTCGGACAACCGGTCCCAAGTGAATTAGCAGGTGGCATATGAAAATTAAAGCCCCCTAAACTGTATAGCTGTTCTGTGTTCTGTGTTCTTAATTATTGGTTGTTGCACGGTTGTCTTGATAGGAGCCCGAGAACGATCCGCGATTGTGTTGTTTTCTGTGGGTAGCCCGTGGACAGACTGAGAACGAGGAGGTTGGAGACTCACCGACCACTATTACTTTGTACCAACTCATCTATGAACGAGAGGAAACATTATCTGGTTATGGTCGGGTTTTGAAGGTAAGTAGATCACGGGACAACAGGGCGGTCAAAATACATTGTGCATAAAAAACTGCGTGCTCGAATTCCGAATAGAATAATAACGCAAACCGTTTATGATTATGTTAATTTTAAAGCTTAGTCATTCAGATTTTCAACGGTATAGGCTACTCTTGTAATTTGATATGGTTCGCAAGAAATATATATTTTTTGTGACTGAGATTGGAGAATACAAAATTTGAGATGCATACCAAACCGATACTAACTCATTTTGTCAGTAAAACGAAATAATTGAAGCATTTTGGCAATTGTTTATCAAAAGTACTATGGCATTTTGTAGACTACTTTTAGTTCGTTTTAGTAACTTTGCATGCATTACGGTCTCGGTTTAACGTGGTTTAAACCTGCACCAACTTCCTATTTCAGTCCGTTTGATTCCCGCATCGTCGTGCGTTCCGTGGCGATTCGCTTCTTGCGAACGTTCGTGTAGTTAACTGGTTAATGATAATTCATTCTTATATTTCTTCTAACTTGTAATGATTTATTTTAAATGTTTTACGCGCCCATTGTAAGCGTGGTTAAATCAGTGAACTCTATAGATATCTAAAGCAATAGCGTCAGTCATTCGGTCTATAAGAAAAGTGAAGCCGATAGACCCTTCCGGAAAGTACGTCGCTTTGGCTATAGAGCCTCGCTTTCGTGATTGAGAGGATTGGATTTAACTGATCTCGCATACACGAAAACGAGGCTCTAGCCAATTGCAAATGACGTTACTTTCTGGAAGAGTGTATTGACGTTCAATAGCTATGAAGATTGTAAACAGTTTTACTACCATTTTCCCCAGCTGATTCCAGTTTTTTTATCGGACCGTATGCTAATCCAGTTATCAGTTCATAAAACCATTGTAATGTTATTTTTTAAGTCGAAGTGAAAATGCTCTGCAGACCACGCAGATAAAACCAATAAAGTCTGAAAGTGACGTCCAATATCACCATCTTTAGCTTCACATTTGGACTCGAGTTCTCGCTCCAGATGTATACATGGAGTTCACTGGGCAAATATAGTTTATCATCATTAATGATGGAGACTTTGTTCTGCCTCTTCGGTGTCGGTATTAGTGAGGTTTAGATTTGATTTCCACTACCATTGCCGCCACAATTAAGGGACCGTTAACCAATCAGATGCATTTATTTACCCGATTAACCAAACACACGCGTGCTTGTCAGTAAAAGGTAGGGGTATAATGGTAGTGGAAGTCTAAACCTCACTAATTTAATAGATAGACTCAATCGTACAATATTCCAAAAAACGTTTTTAGGATTTTTCTGGATGTGGAGGGCGTTTTGAACATCAGTTGACAGGCGATCCTTATCACTTGGCTGACGCAACCACTTGTGGTAGCAGAGTGTTGTGTTTCTATACTTTGGGTAAGTTTATTGCTTGTCCCCACAAACAAAATAAACTGAATTTGCTGTATTTATATTCTGGACAATTCTATATACGTCTAATCTTGTGAAGGTTTTTGTTTCCAAGCTTCAATGAATCATTGACTTAATTACTTGGAACGTACAGAGATATATATGACTGAATTTAAATACAATAAAAAAACTTGAAACCCCCCATTCCCCCACCCATTGTTGTATGTAGCTCGAATGCATCCTCATTATATGATGAGCTTGCTTGAGAACTGCTAACGTGGCTTTAACTAGCAGCAACATTGAACAGGAATGGGCGGAGTCTGCATTGAAGGGGGAGAGTCTGCAGAATATGAATGCTGTTCCAGCAATGTTGTACCCTAGCTAGTTCTAGAGGCTCTTAAATATTGGTGAGGCAAAATAACGGCAAGGCGAAATAAATACGAGGCGAACGAGCCTCTGGTCAAATGGACTGCAAATCTCACTTCCTTACTTGATTAGGTTCAAAATCTGAAACTCGCATGTGATTGGCTGTTTGTAAAAACATGTCAAACCGGTTTGGAAAATATACAGTACTAAAATCATTGCTACATTTAGCAGGCTATAATTCGTTCAGTGTTTGTTTATATTCCAAACCGGTTTGACATGTTTTTACAAACAGCCAATCACATCACATGTGAGGTTGAGGTTCAGATTCGATTTGACCAGAGGCTCTTTCGCCTCGCCGTTAGTGTGGACAGCCACCAAGGGAAAACTTGTAGTGTGCTTAATTTTCTACTATGTTAATCAAGTTAATTAGGAAATTGAGGAAACTCTCGTGTAAATTCTGTCTCTTGTCAACTCTTATGCAACTCTGATCATGTTCTCATGTAAACTCTCTCTTGTCAACTGTCACGCACCTCGTTATTTTATATGACTTCTTCACTTATATTTATCTTTCTCTCTCAATCTTTATCTGTTTTCCACTTCAAACATATCGCGGCGAAGTGTAACGTATGTATTTGTTTTGTGAGCATTCAGATAGAATTTGATGCCCTTGAAACAAAGAAGTGCGTTGTGTTTCGTTTCGATTGAAGTGGAAATCAGACGTTATTAATACTCTTAAATAATTATATTGTATATATGTGTTGCTGTAAATAGTGCATGACTAAATATTGAATTAATATACTGTAATTTAAAGTTGCAGGACCCCACTGAAAAACACTTCGGTGATGTGGGTATCCTGGCTAAATATGAAGATAATAATAATAATAATAATAATAATAATAATAATAATAATAATAATAATAATATGATTTGTCCTTGCCATGGTAGTTACGGAAACTCTCGTGTAAACTCTCTCTCTCTCTCTCTGCTAATCGTGTTTATGTTTGACCTGGCCATGATAGTTGAAGAACCTCGCATGTCAACTCTCGCTTCTCAACGTTCATTGTCTGACCGAGCCATGAGTGCGGAGGAATTTCTCATGTAAATCATACCTCTCATGTAAACTCTTGCCAGTCCACTCTCGCGCAACTCTTGTTCTCGTTTGATACACTCTTATGGCATGTTTTTCAGTAACTTTGCAAATATTTGCCACTTTTCAGAACGAGACGAAGCTGCAATTGATGTGACAAGATTAGATGATAGTTCTGATGAAGTCGGTAAGTTTTATTTTGACGCATATGGCTGGCGTAGAAGTAGAAAGTCCCATGATGGATGTGAAGAAGATTGGGTATAGCTGCCACATTTCAGCTGCTCACGGGATCAGCCTGCCGGAACAAAATGGCTTGTGGTAGATTCGCTTTTTTAAATGAAGAGGAATTGTTTAAAGTATTGCCAGGACAATAACAGCACCAAAAAGGTCAAGAAAGAATGCAAAATTATTTTCGACGGGTGTATATTATTTTCTCTTTACTTAAATGTTCTGTTTTTCGTCTTTATTACCGGCTGCCAGTTTTGGCATTCTTGTTCTTTTGAATGTGTAATAACATTGGTCTCGCTCTGGATAGTTCTTTATATCATGCTTAACCTCAACCAATAATGGTTTAATCTATTTTCATTTAGTGTCACGTGATTTAACTCTTGTCGTGTGTGTCTGGGAAGCTCCTCCAGTAGAACTTCATTCCAGTCCCTCTTCTCATATGGCCGTGTTCGACATCAACCGCTGGTATCACTCACAAATGCCTGCCAGCATCAGGTATGTACTCTAGTGTCCCCATATTCGCCCTGTGTGCTCGTTGATGGTTGGGTTATATCGTTATGAAACACTCACCAAGCCGTTATAGGGTTAGAGTTATGGACAGGGAAGATGTGGTTATGAGCATAAACTCTGCAGTTGGCAAGAAAAGCCGATGCTCTAAGAACTTGTATCATGCACCATTCCTGTCAACAATCAATGGCATTTACCTATGATACAAGCGAACAGCCACAGCGAACGCGCAGTGAGCTCCATGTATAGTATGTACTGTATCTATAGCTCCATGCATGTATAGTATTGTTTCTGTGTAATAATATAATAATGTAATAATATAATAATATAATAATATAATAATATAATAATATAATAATATAATAATATAATAATATAATAATATAATAATATAATAATATAATAATATAATAATATAATAATATAATAATATAATATAATGTATAAAGAATGCTTAGCCTAAGCACGGTTTGGCCTAAGCATCAATTGTTTCGCCTAAGCATAAAAGCAACCTACATTTTCGAAATTACTCACCACCTGATGATTGCTATACGGATGAAACAGACTGTTGTGGTTTTTTGAGGTAAAACGAAAAACTATATTACGCTCTATCTAAATGGCATTGAGCACTGTTTGTGTTTCGTAAACCAAAAACTTTAGCTTATATATATATATATATATATATATATATATATATATATATATATATATATATATATATATATATATATATATATATATATATATATATATATATAGTATATATAGATATATTAGTATATATAGATATATTAGTATATATAGATATAT